GATACACACCACAGACAGACAACAGACAGACAGAAGACGCAGAAAGAGAAGTGGAGAATTCAGTTTTGGACTTACTCTTGGTTTAAACTACTTCATGAGGAAGACTCTGGATTCTTCTTTTTTTTAATCTAACATAATTTCTTTATTGATTCTTTGGGAATTTCACACCATGAACAGGCAGTTAAAAAGTGCTTTTCTCACCAACTACTTGGGAAAAAAATATCTGAGGGCTTCCCATTACTTCCAAGGCTTTCTAACTTTCCAGGATTCTAATATACCTTACTTTATGTTCATGCACTTGTACTAATTTAGCACATTTACACTTTCCTCTGTTACTCTCACTCCATTTTGGCCTTAGCCTTCTCATCCGAAACATATGAGACCCCACAGATTCTGATTTAGTAAGCCACCCAGACAAGACCATTCTTTCAGTCTTCGGTTATGAGATGGGTGGGACAGCAGCTGTGAGAACAGACCTCTTCTTCAGAAGAGATGGAGGGACCAAGAGTTGCTGGCGGTGGGACGGCAGACATGGCATGGCAGAGGCAAGGAAGGATGGTGTTGCCCTTGAAGGAAGAGATGAGATGTGGGTGGGGGTAGTGGGGATGCTAGGCTGGAAGAAAGGGGAATGAAAAGGACCATTCTGCTCCCAGCTGCTTCCCAGATGCCATTTGGGACACATGAATATCTGTGGTGGTATTGTGTTCCCCAAAATATTATGCACACTAATAAACTTATCTGGGGTCAGAGACAGAAAAGCCACTATATACAGAGGCTAGAAAATGGTGGCACTCACACCTTTAATCTTAGCATTCCAGAGGTAGAAATCCCTCTGGATCTCTGTGAGTTCAAGGCCATATTGGAAACAGCCAGGCATGGTGACACACTCCTTTAATCCCAAGAAGTGAGCCTTTAATTCCAGGAAGTGATGTCAGAAAGCAGAAAGGTATATAAGGCGTGAAAACCAGGAACTAGAAGCTTTTAGCTGGTTAAGGTTTCAGGCTTTGGAGCAGCAATTCAGCTGAGATTCATTCTGGATGAGGACTCAGAGGCCTCCAGTCTGAGGAAACAGGATCAGCTGAGGAACTGACAGGGTGAGGTGGCTGTGGCTTGTTCTGTTTCTCTGATCTTCCAGTGTTCACCCCAATAACTGGCCTCAGGTTTGATATTATTAATAAGATCTTTTTATTAATAAGATCTTATTATTAATAAGAACTTTTAAGATGCCTACTACAAATATCTTTGTCTTCATCAACGTCTGTTGCACACGACACAATCCATGGCCGATACCATCAGACTGTAGGCAGGTGGGAGCCCTTCCTGGTCAGGCTCTTTTTCTTTTATGTACATTGGTATTTTGCCTGCAGGTACATCTGTGTGAGGGCATCGGTTCTCCTGGAACTGGAACAGTTGTTATTTCTCATGTGGGTACTGAGAATTGAACCTAGGTCCTCTGGAAGAGCAGCCAGTGCTCTTAACCACTGAGCCATCTCTCCAGCTCCCTCTTTGGAAACATGTGAATGGTTGATAGTCAGTAATCACCTATACTAATAGTTTGTTCAAATGGCTTATGATATAAAAACAGCAGGTATTTCCCTTGTCCAAATGGCCACAGAGATTTCTTGAGCTAAGGAGAAAAATCTTGTTTTATTACCCAAAGAAGACCAACCTAAAGCAGAGCATGAAAGAAATATGATACACCCAAAGGAAAGCTAAGAAAATAGAAGGAAAATTGTCTCCTTCATTAGCTATTGTGCTGGGTTTTTGTTTGCTTTTTTTTTTTTTTTTTTTTTTTTTTTTTTTTTTTTGTCAACTTAACACATGGAATTTTCTGGGAAGAGGGAATCTTAACTAAGAAAACCTGTACCAGATTGGACTATGAGAAAACCCAGCCCGTGGTATAAAAAGCAAACTGAGCAAGCCACAGGAACAAGCCATGGGAGCAAGCCACGGGAACAAGCCACAGGAACAAGCCACGAGAGCAGCATCCCTCCGTATTCTCTGCTTCAGTTGCTGCCACCAGGTTTCTGCCTTGAGTTCTTGCCTTGACTTTCATCAATAATGTACTGTAGATTGCAAGCTGAAACAACCCCCTTCCTCTCTGAATTTCTTTTGGTCATGGAGTTTGATCACGGCAATAGAAAGGCAAACTAAGACAGCTATGAGATGATATACCCCAGAAGTCCCTCCCTCCAGTCAGTTGCTTGCATACCCTCACTGCTAAGGCAGGATGCTTTCTGAATTTAAACCTCCTCCCTCCTGCTCCTGCCGTCTGCCTTCTCCAGAAACTGGTCCAAAGCCTGCTTGCTCCGCAGACACCCACCCCAAGCCGTCGCTAAACCTCCCTGCTCCCGGAATTTCTAAATTAGAAAGTGTAAGTTCCTTTTTTTCCCCTTCTTTCTATCTCTCAATTCTGGAGATCTCCAGCTTGGCTGGCTGCTGATTTCTCTGTCAGCCTCCAATGACATTATCCTGGATTTTCCTTCTGGGTTTGTTCCTAATTTGTTTAAGACAGGGTCTCACGTGGCCCGGGTTGTTCTCCAGCTTGCTTTACAGCCAAGGCCTGCCTGACTTGAACTGGGGATCTTCCTGCCACTGTCTTCTCAGTGCTTGCATTCCAGGCATGTGCCACCACACTTTTTGTTGTTGTTCTTTTTCTTTTCTTTTCTTTTTTTTTTTTTCCGAGATAGGGTTTCTCAGTGTAACAACTCTGGTTGTCCTGGAACTCTCTCGGAAGACCACGCTGTCCTCGAATTCACAGAGATCTGCATCCTTTGCCTCCTAAGTGCTGGGATTAAAGGTGTGTGGTTTTTAAATTCTTTTAGCTGAGGCCAAGAACCTGCAGAAGGCATCCTGGGTCCCCCAGTAGCAGCAGTGGCTTCATTAACCGGTCTTTCTACTATTCCCATAGGAAAAAGGAAGTCAGTTTTGCTTGAATACCTGGGTGAGTTTTACTTGCTTTGTCTGTCCTTTGACAAACCAACTTCATTGTCCTGTGAAGAGGGCTCCCTTGATTCTGTCCAGAGGGCCTGGAGACTTCCATGGCAAGGTGAGAACTCTTTGCAGACTTTCACTGTATTGTTTATCATGTACTCTAGAAAGCCAACTCATTTTGTAGCTGTTTTGTTTGGGGTGGTTCTGTTTAGTTTTGTTCTGTTCAGTTAAGAAAGAGTCTCGGGCTGGAGAGATGGCTCAGAGGTTAAGAACACTGACTGCCCTTCCAGAGGTCCTGAGTTCAATTCCCAGCAACCACATGACAGCTCACAATCATCTGTAATGAGATCTGGTGCCCTCTTCTGGCCTGTAGTTATACATGCTGTATACATAATAAATAAACAAACAAGTAAATAAGTCTTAAAAAAAAAGTCTCGCCAGTAGCTTGATCTGCTTAAGGGGCCCCTGGCAGTGGGATCAGGATCCATCCCTAGTACATGAGCAGGCTTTTTGGAACCCACTACCTATGGTGGGACACCTTGCACAGTTTTGAGGCAGGGGGAGGGGCTTGGACCTGCCTCTACTGAATGTACCAGGCTCTGCTGACTCCCCATGGGAGGCCTTACCTTCTTGTAGGAGGGAATGGGAGGTGGATGGGTGGGTGAAGGCTGGAGGGGTGGGAGGAAGGAAGAGGGGGATCTGTGATTGGTATGTAAAATGAATAATAAAATGTAGCATAAATGTTAAAAGGTCTTATTAATAAAAACAAACCTGGAGTCAGGTATTGGGGTAAATGCTGAAAGATCAGAGAAACAGAGCAAGCCACAGTCAACCTCACCTCACCAACTCCTCAGCTGATCCTGTTTCCTCAAACTGGAAGCCTCTGTGTCCTCATCTGAATGGATCTCAGCTGAACTGCTGCTCAAAAGCCTAAAAGCTTAACAGACCTAGTTCCTTGTCCTCACGCCTTATATACCTTTCTGCTTCCTGCCATCACTTCCTGGGATTAAAGGCAGGTGGCACCATACCTGGCTGTTTCCAGTGTGGCTTTGAACCTCACAGAGATCCAGACGGATCTCTGCCTTTGGAATGCTAGGATTAAAGGGGTGTATATGTGTGTGTGTGTGCGCGCGCAGGCCATCATTTTCTGGCCTCTATATCTAGTGGCTGTTCTGTTCTCTGCCCCCAGATAAGTTTATTAGGGTGAACAATATTTTGGGGAACACAATATCACTACAATAAAATTCCTTAATAAAAAAAAAGTCTCACTTTGTAGAGACTGGTCTGGAGCCTACAATTTCTGGGCTCAGCTTTGTGAATGCTAGGTTTATAGGCTTGGACCTTGCCTGGCAATTCATTTGTATTGTAGACTGTTTGCAATATACAGGAAAGTTAAATAAAAAGAGTCAGATGTAGCCAGTCTTTCTTTTTGGACTTTCTTTGGGGACTGCCAGCCCCCAAATAATGACAAGGAGACTTCTTATTATGAAAACTTGGACTTTAGCTTAGGATTGTTCCCAACTAGCTCTTATAACTTAATTAACCTGTTTCTATTAATCTAGGTTCTGCCAGGTGGCCCTTTACTTCTCCTCCATCCTATATATCAAACTCCCTCCGTGTCCCATCTAACCTCTCCTGCCTAGCTATTGGCCATTCAGCTCTTTATTAAACCAGTCAGGTGCCTTAGGCAGGCAAGGTAAAATAGTAACACATCTTTACATAATTTCTCAAATATCCCACAACAGTCATAACTCAAGCATTCATACACATCCATTTAAAAGTAATGTGACTACCATTTTTCATATTTGAGATAGTATATTGTCTGATATTGAATTCCGAAATTGTGTTGTGTAACATTAGGTATTTGATATATTTTTTGGAAATTTAAATTTTGCCAATTGTCCATAATATAAATTGTGGTGGTTTGAATACGAATGGACCCTATAGGCTCATATATTTGAATGCTTAGTCATGGGGGGTGGCACTACTTGAGAAGGATCAGGAGGTGTGGCCTTGTAGGTGGCAGTTTCGCTGAGGTGGGTTTGAGGTGTCAAAAGCCCATGCCAGTGGTTGGTACCACGCACTTCAAAGGGAGCATCACTGCTGTAGATGTGATAGCCTAGTTCCTCCAAGGGTGGCTCTGGATCAGCTGTAGCAAACTGGGCAGCATTCTCAATTTCTTTCCTCACTTCCACATCAATCTTTAATTCTGCAACACTCACAATATTGCTGTTCATCATCCTATCCTTAAGAAGCGTAATAGAGTCGCTCTTACTTCTTCCTGGATTTCTTCTCGAGTGCGGTAACTGACTCCAGGGTTGCTCATACTATGTCCATGGTAACAATAAGTCTGTAGTTCCATCAGAATGGGCCCCTACCAAGACCTACAATAGGCAGCTGCAAACTTTGTTGCCTCTCAGACATACAAGATATCCATTCCATCTACCCTCAGTCCAGGAATAAAATCTCCTCTTTCGTAGTAATCTGTGCTGGCCGCTGCTCTCTCATCAGATGTCCCCATGCCATAGCAGTTATTTTCACAGATGAAAATACAAGGTAATTTCCACAATGCTGCCATATTGTAAGCTTCACATATTTGACCCTGATTAGCAGCACCAACACCATATAAAGTCAAACAGACCTCATCTTTTCCATTATACTTGAAGGCCAGAGCAATCCCTGCTCCTAGGGGCACCTGAGCTCCAACGATGCCATTGACCCCATAGAAGTTCTTGGCGTACATGTGCATCGATCCGCCTTTCCCTTTAGCACAACCTCCTCTTTTTCCTGTTAGCTCTGAAAGAATTGCTCAGACAGTCAGGCCCCGAGTGAAGGTGAAGTCATGCGCTCGATTGGCTGTGATGAGATGGTCAGTGAGGTTTATGCCAGCCTCGAGGCCCACACAGTGGCTTCCTGACCATCACACAAGAGAAAGAAACCACAAATAATCTTCTGTTTATACAGCTGATCTGCCTTTAGCTCCATTCGCCGCACAGTCTGCATCATCCTGTAGTACTTGAGCCTATCCTCTCTGGTGAGCACTGTGGTGACTGGAGGGCTCTCTTCTAGCCGATGAAGGTCACATTTCTTAATGTCAAATATAGCATCATTTGCAAAATTAGGGGAAGCTACTAGCACTCTGCTTGCTGGCTTCTGAGCAGCACCTGCCAACACGCGGGACACGGGCGAGCATCTTCCTCATGGAGTGCAGCAAACCCACGCAGTGGCCACCAGTTAATGGGAGACTTTAAAATGGATGGTCGCTCATCATCCACTGTAAGAACTCTGTGATTTCAACTTTAAGAACATGAAATACCCAGACAAAAAGTCTTGAAAACATGTAAATTGAGGAAGAATAAGTTGCATGCAGTTTATACGTTGTTGTACGCAGTGTATCCATGTGAATAAGAGTGTATTGGATTTGTATAGGATTTGAAATGGGTAATGCAGAGTTTATAACTTCCCCTCATCATATCCTACACCAGTTACTACATGGAACAACTCTGCCATTTTCTGTGGTGTGAGGCATGCTGGGATTAATGCGATTCACAGGTAGAGTGGCAGCCACTCTGTATTGTAGAGGCTAACATCTGTTGGCAAAGGCTCTACATAATCATGTATTTAAAAAAAAAGCTACTTCAAAGGTAAAACAATTTAATTTTCTCTATTTAGACATTTAACAAACATGAACTTGTAATCCCATTGCAAGGCACACTTTTTATTCCTTTTGCATTTAAGTATTATGCTTTACCTTTCTAGCAGTTGCTATAAGGTATGCTAACTTTTAAAATGACATATAATCCTAAGAATTTAATAAATTAGATCATGGTTGATGTTACATACAATCCTGTTTATAAACAAGGATGGTCTAAATTTTTACATGCTTGGATTAAATGAACAAGGGTCCTTCTGTGTAAAGGCAGGATTTGTGTGTACACGAACAGATGAGGGGAAGTTATAAACTCTGCATTACCCATTTCAAATCCTATACAAATCCAATACACTTTGACCATAAGTAGGCAGGATATTTGCTTATTTGTTCAGCTGGGTTCAGTGTGAGGACTCCTGCGTTTGTCTTCTGTGCTGGGAGACTGCATGCCAGAGCCTACAGAGGACACCACCGCTGCAAAGCAGGAGTTTCCAGAAGAAAAGCAAACTTAGAAACAGCAACCTCCCAAGCAGGAGAAGCAAGCATTTGATCTACAGGATTACATTTGCCAGCTACTCTTTCCAATATAATCTCTAACTTATTCAAGTGTGTTGTCTTTGTCTGGACCTGGTGCCATAGGAGTGTTGGTGGCTCTGTGTAGGGTGTGGGCATTTTAAACAAGAGTGAAAAGAGGATTTCATTAAGATTGGAGGAAGCTACCAGCATTTTGTTTTTGTATTTCATTTAAAAATATTCACTAAGACCTATTATTCAAACCATTTGGAAGCTCTTACCGTAGTCTGAGGCACCTTAGGTCTTCCTTAGTAATGTTGTTGAGAATATCAGAAAGTGTATTGTCCTCTTCAACAATCTGCAACAATGATTCAGTGTATGAGATAAGCAGCTTCTCAACAGTATCATAGGAATACTTGGATTTAGAAATTTACCTTTTCTATTGTACTGGCATCCACTCCTTGTAGTTGCAACCAGTCTATAAATTCTCTGTCTGTCCCCAGTTCATCCAGGGGTGCCGGATTCTCCGTACCACCTAGAATGATTCCAGTTTTGTTTTATTGTATAGTAATGTATAACCATAAACTGCTTCAAAAGTAACAAAGCAGATGTAATGACATATCCAAATAGAACATAAATGTGATGTAAAAAGGAAATGAATTAAACTGTTTTGATTTAAAAAAAAAAAAGCCCATGCCAGGCCCAGTGTCTCTAGTTCTCTCTGCCTGTGGATCAGGCTGCAGGTCCTGCTGCAGCCCCATGTGTGCGGCCATGCTTCCCACTATGATAATAACGGACTAAACCTCTGACACTGGAAGCCGGCGCCGATGAAGTGCTTTCTTTAGAAGAGTTGCATTTGGCCATTGCGTTTCTTCACAGCAGTAGAACGGTGACTAGGACATAGACATCTATCTTCTGCATCACGTCTAAGTATAAAAAACCAATGCTACAACTCTTTTTTTCCTTTCCTTCTTATTAGAAAGAGTCTCTCTAAGTACTCCTGGCTATCCTGGAGCCTGCTGTGCACACCAGGCTGGCCTTTGCCTCTTGAGTGCTGGTATTAAAGGTGTGGGCCACCATGCCTGGTACTCTATAACGCTCTTAGCAAACCATTCCCATACTCTGGATGACCTGCCTTATGTGGAGAGCTTAGGTTACAGAGCCTTGAGCTGCTCTCGCCTCCAAACTGGGCCACACTCCCTGTAGCCTTTCTCTGAGAGTGGATGTGGTGGAATCATTTCCTTCCTCCAGACAGTTGCAAACTAAACAGAAAAACGAGGCCTCTGTGGAGTCTTACCTAGTGCCCATTTCCCCAATAATTCCCAGGCTCAAAGTGACCTTGAACTAAAGCCCTAATTCTTATCAGGTGCTTTGCTTGTCTTCATATCTTATGGCGTGTATGTTAAGTCACATGGCATGGGATATCCTTTCCCCAACCCTAAACCAACAGGAGGAAGACATTCCCTTTGTTCTTTGGAACTGAAGGCTTTTCCTTCAGTATCTCATCAAGGTTGCCCATGGCCTGATGCTTTTAACTCTCCAAATAAAACTCTTTTAAAGGGTGGTAAATCATCTTGGTTTTCTTTCTTTCAAACCTAAAACATACTTTTCTTTCTTTCTCTCTTTCTCTCTCTCTCTCTCTCTCTCTCTCTCTCTCTCTCTCCTTCCTT